GTTTTGTGGAACAAAAAGTGCTTTTTGAGTGATCCACTCAAAAAGGGCTTCAGGAGCTCAGGGGGTGGGTTGGTTAGAAAAGGCTGGATGAAGCTGCCAGGCTGTGAACTGGTAGCGGAGATAAATGAGGGCAAGCCAGGCAGAGGGAACCTTGTAGAGAAAGGGCTTGGCGTAAACAAGCCAACAAAATACATGGTGCCAGATGCTCTTTTCATGTGGGCTCTCTCAACACCCATTTTACAGCTGAGAAAGCTGAGGCTCAGAGAGCAAAGTGACTTGCTCAAGATCACACTGCTAAGAAGTGGCAGATCCAGGACTTGAACCCACCTCTGTGTGTCTCCAGATGCCCTCTACCAGTCCTTCCTGCATTTCCGGTCTGGATGCTATAAAGGACTCAGAGGCGAACCTCACTAAGATCCTGATCCCAGGTGCTCCCAGGCAAATGGGGGTCATGTGACTGGTACCCAGAGAACACTAAGAGGAGACAGAAGTAGAATGGAAGCATAGAGACAGATGCAAAGGGCAATGATAACTCAGAAGAGTCAAGAAACCTCACTGGAAACTTCAGGGACAGTTTCATGGTGGGGATATACCAGAGTTGGGTGGTGCCAGACTGATGAAGTTTGCGGGTAACAGCACTTTGTCACAATTAGACGACATTGCTAAGTAATCCACACATCTCTCCAAGCCTCATTTCATGTATGGGGAAGCCGGGCTCCCAGAAGGTTAAATAACTTGTGCACAGTCCCACAAACTAAGAAGGAGCAGAGCTGAGACTCAAGTCTGGGTCCTCTAAATCCAAGACAGTTCTGTGTCTGCTCATGGCACAGGTAACAAAAGGAGCCTGTCAGGCACCTGGCTGAGGACTGCAGATGGGAAGTGACAAGAAGAAATTTGGTGGACAAGACAAGGCCACATTGTGGGGTCCCGAATGCCACAATCTGAGAAACCTAGGATGATACTTGACATTTGAATGATTCACCTGGTGCTAAGTATAGGTGGCAATGGATGAGAGAAGAGAGAGATGAGGTGAGTGCCTCTTCTTAATGGCTGGGTGAAAAGGCATGCGGTGTGAACAGGGTGCCTTAGACACTGGGCTAGATACAGGAAACACCGTGGAGGAAGATCTGACAGCAGTCAGCTAGCTCCCCTTTAGTCCCACATGATCTAGGCCTCTACTTACCTCTCCCATGCCATATCCTTCTACCCTCCCCTTACTACCTGCATTCCAGCCACACTAAGCAGCTGCTCACCCCCAGAAAAAGCCAACTTTGTCTCCACCCCAGGTGCTTTGCACCTGCGATTTCCTCTGCCCAGAACTCCTCCTCTTAGATCTCTGCATGGCTGATTCCTTCTCCTCCCTCTAGTCTTGGCTCACATGTCACCTTCCCAGAGAGGACATCCTATTAAAGTAAGTGCTCAGTCACCGCTGCCTTACCCTGCTTGATTGCCTTCATCACCCTTCTCATAGCTCAAGTTGGCTTGTGTGTGTGTTTATCATCTACCTCCCTCCACCCGTCCATCTACTAGGATGTGTGCTAAAGCCACATAGGAACCTTGTTGCTCTTGGTCACTGCTGTATTCTCTGTGCCTCGAGTCTGGCATATATGCCAGACATTCTGCAACTACTTGTTGAATAGCAGAAAGTATGAGTGTTTGGATTGATGGATGGATGCCTATATGCATTGGTGATGAGAGAAGGTGAGAGGGAGGGAGGAGTTCTGGCTCATCTGGAGACCCAAGCCAGGAAGATAATGGTGCTAACCACCAGATAGAGCAGGTGACAGGGAGCAGACTCCATGTGGGAAGATGACGAGTTTGGTGACATGCAGGTGGGGCCTCCAGGTAGAGAGGCCCACTCACAGCGGAAACTACTGACCTGAGCTCAAGGAAGCAATAGGGCTCTGGAAGTGCTAGGGGGCATCTTTCCAGAAGCATAAACTGGGACCATGGACATTGGTGAGGTCCCTGATGAGCAAGGTGAGGCAGGGAGAAGGAGAAGGAAGAACTTAGAGGAATGACCCAGGTTGAGGTGGGACACAGGGTGAAGAGAATTGAAAGGGACAAGGAGAATGGGTCAAGAGTTGTGGCCAAAGAAGTGGGAAGAGCTCTCCCTGAGTGGAGGAGGGAGGGCTTCAAGACGGAAGATAAGGCAATGGAGCCAAATTCTCAGGGAGGAAGGGGAGTGAAAATCAATCAGCAGTTCATAGCATTGATGTCCACAATAGCCAAACTGTGGAAGGAGCCACTGTGTCCTTGAACAGATGAATGGATAAAGAAGATATATATATATATATATATCTTCTTTATACACACACACACACACACAATGGAATATTACTCAGCCATTAGAAACGACGAATACCCACCATTTGCTTCAACATGGATGGAACTGGAGGGTGTTCTGCTGAGTGAAATAAGTCAGTTGGACAAGGACAATCATCATATAATTTCACTAATACATGGAATATAAGAAATAGTGAAAGGGATTGTAAGGGGAAGGAGGGGAACTGAGTGGGAAAAATTAGAGAGGGAGACAAACCATGAGAGACTTCTAACTCTAGGAAGTAAAGTATTGATGAAGGGGAGGTGGGTGGGTGGATGGGGTAACTGGGCACTAAGGAGGGCACTTGATGAGATGAGCACTGGGTGTTATACTATATGTTGGCAAATTGAATTTAAATAAAAAATAAAATATTTTAATTACCTTTCAGAAAAAAAAACTCTTTGGAAAATAATTTTTTATATATCCAGCAAGAATGCACTTTTTCAGTAAATGATGAGCTGATAAAATATTAAAATAAAAACAAAACTCCATGGTGAGGGTACAAAAAGGTCCCTGGGGTGTTTTGAGTCTGATGAGGAGGTAGGAGTGTCCCGAATGGTGGCAGCTAAGGCTACAGGGGTCTGAGCCAAGGAGGTAGGTAGGGCCTTGGTGCCAAGCAGAACATAATGTGTATACCTGTGGAAGCCCGAGCCCTCCAAGCAGAGGCTCACTGGTAAGAGGGAGGCAGGTAGGAGGCAGGGTAGGGGATACCACCATTTATTCATGTCCACCATGTGCTAGGCACTGTGCAGCCACATTCACAGCCATTGGCTCATTCAACCCTAATGACAACAATTGTAGTGTATAAATAAATCATTAGCCTTATCTTCCGTGAGGAAAAAGAAATTAGAAAGGTTAAATGTGTCACTTAAGATCACAGCCAGGAAATGGTGTACCCATCTGAACCTGGGTCTACCATCTACTCTCAGTCACTCTGGCAATAGGTCACCAGAGACTAAAAACAGACTAAAGCTCTGAGAGAGATTGTCCAATTTCCACATGAGATTCACTCACTGTCTGGTTTCTTTGAGGCACTGGATCAGGAGAAAGCATAGGCAACAGGGTTGGGAATTTGGAGGTGAGAATTGTCTAGCATCAGGGAACAGAAGAGATCAAGTCAGGGGAGGCCGAGGAATATGGCTAGAACTGGTCACAGGCAGTGCTTGCCATGTGTGTGGAACTGAGAGGCACCATCATTGTGACACCCACTCCCACACTTACAGGCCATGATGGTCCACCCATTGACTGCACAGTGGGCCAGGCAGAGAGGCAGCCGTGGGAGCTTTTGCTTTCTGGAGGGGAATGACACTAAGGTCCAGAGAAGCTCCCTTACTTGCCACTAACTCTCCCAGAATGCCAGAGATGGGGAACCACACTGGGTAGCTGGTCCTGGGCAAGAGTTTGGAGCTGAAGGTTTGTAGGAATTCTTTGTTATCTTCTAAGAATTTCTCTCATACACAACTTTGTCTCTTAGCAACCATCACCTCGGTGGTTCTTTTGTGTCACCCATTGACAGCATGCTCATCCCTATCCTCTGTGCCATCACCACAGCCTCCTTCCGTGACCAGGTCAGGCAGTGCTTGTGCCAGAAGGTCCCCTGGATGCCTGCCTCAAACTACTGGTTTGAGCTTCACACTGGTGTCCCTTAACACCTACACTGCCTGAGCCATCTCCCATCACCCATACGCACATGCGGGGTGCCTCCACTGTTATCCCAAAGGCAGAGGGCTACCAGGACTTCTGTTCCATCTTGCTCCCTTCCAAGATTAACTGAGATCCCCAGGCAGCAGCAGTGAAGAAAGGCCATAGGTATGTAGGGACAGCTGAACCCAAAGAGAATGAAAGGTGATGGAGAAGTGGGACTTGACAGATAACCCTGCTCGGTCAGGCAGAGTGGGGCAGGCCAAACTGAGTGCTTACTGAGCCAGGCTTGTGCTGAGGTGTCACTGACCTGTCTGACCCACGAGGAGGCTCAGGTTCAGATAGAGGAAGAAACAGCAGGACTTGTTTGCTGTACGCTACCCAATGGCACTCAATGGGTATACAGATTGGATCCCAAAGCCTGTACTTCCTCTCTAGCTGCCCCCAGGAGCCTGGGAACTTTATGGCTACAGTAGTGTGGCAAAGAAAGCCTTTTCCTGTGGGGAGGTAAAGATGAAGGGGTCTTCCTAGCCCCCCTGGACTTTGCTGGCCACTGGAGCCAGATCAGGGGCTGTCTTCAGGCACTCTGACCTCTCTTGTGCTGGTTTATGGGGAAAACAGGGTCTCTAAACCTCTAGGGGCTGGGTTTCCACTCTTCATCCTTAAGTCTGGGCTGTGTGTAGTAGGTGAAGGAAGGAAAGCCTAGCCAGGGGCATCTCTCCCTAGGGCTACTGTCAGGATACCTGAGGTCATGCTTGTGGGCCACTCAGATTGGGGATTGGAGCCCCTGGCCAGATCAGGGAATTGGGGTGTGCAGCTTCTGTGCAGTCCAGCCTCCCCCACCCTCAAATCACCTCTCAAAGAGAAGGGCTGAGGCCTTCCCCATTCCTACTGTGGCCTCTCCCTGAACCCTACACCAGTAATGTTCACAATTTCTGCAGCTAACACTAAGCCCACATCATAACCTGCCCTCAGTTCCTAACCCATCATCCCAGCGAAGACAGTCACACAACCAGAGGGCATCTCTAGTAATGCTTTATTGTTCTGCTGAGGGGTCACATGGTTCCAGCTCTCCACCTCCCTCATTTTCAGTGCCCTGCACCCTCGGGCTTTCCAGACCCCTGCTTGCACCCACAGATTATAATATACTCATGATAGAATATGTGTGCTTATACAGATGTGCATATATATGTATCTATATATACAAATACATATATATATTCTGTCTGTACAGTATTTATAGGTACAAATAAAATAGGCTTAAAAACTACAGTATTGGCTGGGACCCATCCCATTCCATTTTATTGAGCTAAAAGAAAAATAAAGCACCAGTTGGCATTTGAATGCCATTTGGAATTCCACATAAGCCAAGATGACTGCTGGGTGGGATGGATCAGGTTTGGATCAAGCCCCAGCTGGCTGAGATGACACTAGGCCCCTCCATCTGGCTGGCTAGCTGCCTGAACCAGAGGTCAGGTTTCTGCTTGATGAAGGGGCTGTTATGTCAGCCTGTTAGCATAGGCAGGGAGAGCAGGAGAAGGGATGCTGACACAGGTATGTGTCTCTTTACTACCATCTGCTTTTGCTTGGCCTGTGAGGTGGGAGTGAGCCTGTTTGCTCTCCAGACATGAGTATGTGACCAAAGGGTGCACAGGACACCAGGGAGTGGCAGATGAAGTATGAGGCCCAAGTCAGGGAGACTGGTTTATTGGTCTCCTGAGACCTGAGAAAGGAGGCCCTCTCCCCCCACTACCATATCCCAAGCTGCCCCAAATACTCATGTTGCCTAGGTAGTGCCCGCTCTTTTTTTTTTTTTATAAATATAATCTTTTTTTTAAATTTTTATTTATTTATGATAGTCACAGAGAGAGAGAGAGAGAGGCAGAGACACAGGCAGAGAGAGAAGCAGGCTCCATGCACCGGGAGCCCGACGTGGGATTCGATCCCGGGTCTCCAGGATCGCGCCCTGGGCCAAAGGCAGGCGCCAAACCGCTGCGCCACCCAGGGATCCCTCCGCTCTTTAAATCAGCCTCATAAAAATCAGCATTGTATTTACACAAAGAAAACAGCTCATGCTGGTTGCAGCTGACCTGTGCTCATCCTCCCTAGTCCAATTTCCCTGGAAAAGTCAGTTCAGGGCCAATACTAAGCCCCAAGGCAGGACCAGAGGCTCCTGCCAACCTCAAAGGGACCCTAGCACCAAAAAAGGGTAGCTTGGCCTCTCCGAGTGGCAGAGAGCTGGAAGCACACGCTGCTCTCTCCCTCCTCCCTCCTGCAGGTGGTGGAGCTGGTGAGGCTTCAGACTGATGGTGCCTCGGTGGGCCTGGGGGGAAGTAGCAGTCTTCTTCTGAAAATGACTCCTCTCTCTCGGGAGGACAGAACACAGGCTTATGGGTGGAGGTGGAGTAGAGATGGGCCACTGACATTTCTTTTCCTCCCCTGGATGTGTGGAGGAGCTTCAGGAAGTAAAGGGGACAGACTGCTGGATCTGCAAGGGCCTGGCTCTGCCCCTGGGAGCAACATGTGGGGGATGCTCTCCTCTCTTCTCCCCCTTACTCTCTTGGCACCAAGGGGCCCAGGTGGTTTCACCCTGGCACTGAGCTGAGGCTCACAATTTTGTCTCAGGGCCAGCTGCCTGCGGGGTGGGGAAGGAGTCCCGGATCTTCGCCACTTCCATGGCACACAGGTGCCCAAAGACTTTGTTGTACCAGTCAGGAGAACGGCCCCTATGGAGGTAGAAGCAGGCAGGTATGAGCCATGGGTTCTTCCCTGGATCCCTTGCCAGGAGGAAGGAAGAAAAGACTTGCCCCCAGTCCCCAGGGATCAGTGGCACAGGACAGAGGTAGGGAGACTGCCCAGCCTAAGGGGGCCGGGTACCTGAGATCAGCACGGCAGATGTGAGTGAGCCGGGAGCGGCCCAGGCCACAAGGCTCCATGAGGTACTGGGAAGTGAGCATCATGGCCCGCACCCCTGATTCTGGCACAGGTTGCTCAGGATCCAGGGACTGGGAGACGAGCAGACAACCACCACGGGGCAGGTCAGAGCGCCACATCCTATTGGGTGGAGGGTACGACACACACATTCTGGTTCCTGGTGTCTGTTCCCAGTCCACCTCCCTGGCCCCCCAAGGATAGCAGGATGAGAGCTAGAACCCCTCACCGGAGCACCACGAAGTCACGGCAGGGATGGGGTGCCATGCTGTCGGTGACATAGTGGTACAGCTCCACACCTGGCATCAGGGCTTCCAACACCTGGGCCCGCAGCAGGTCCTCATCCCAGAGGGCCCTCTCCCGCAGAACACGGTGTAACACGACAGGTGGAGGGGCTGCCACCTCAGTGGACACCTTCCACACACGCAGGGGGTGCCCATCTGGTGCCTGAGAGCCATGAGAGTGGGGACAGGGGCCAGCCATCAGAACCAGAGAACACCCACTGCACCGCTGCCCCTGCCCCAGTTCCAGCCTGCTTTCACTTCAGCCCCTGACAAGGGAAGGCTGCAGGGGTACTGGGCTAACCCTAGCCAGGTCCAGACAGGCCATCCCTTTGTTCCCTGTCCTCTCCTTCCTCTCTGGATGTCTGTTTCTCCACCTAGTCAAAAGCACAAAGAGATGAGGAGACACAAATTCTCTGGGGCCTATTAGGCTCTACCATGAAATGGATGCCATGCTTGGAATTTCTGAAAGTGAACAGGAAGAGAAGAGGGGGCCCATCATCCAGGAGCTCACCATCTAGCATTGGAAGCAGGACAAGTGCACAGCACCAAAGCTGCTACTTCATGAGTCTTTTGCACATACCAGGCACTTGTGCGAGCTTCTCATCCCACGCCCGTAAAGGGAAGTTTTACTATGCCTTGCTTTACACAATATCGGGCTTGTGGTGTTACTTGTAATTGGAATCCAAGAAAAAAAAGGTGGCTAAGGCCAAGAGAAGGATAGAGGAGTCACCTCCAGTTTGGGACATGACAGGAGGCTCTGAATGAAGGAGAGAGCATATCAAGTTGAGGCTTCCTGTAACTTGGGACATGCAACACTTCTGGCAGGTCAGTCTAGGCAGAAGGACAGCAGGGGCAGAGGCACACAGGTGGGGAGCTCAGCACCACTGTGGTGCAGAAAGGTACAGGAGGCTAGGCTCTACATACAGTGACCTGCCTACAGTGGGGCTCCGGTACAGAAATTCTGGCAGGAGATCCCCAACAACGGAGAGCCCCCCATCTCATCTGGTTCTCAATTTCTTTAGGTACTTGCTCTGCTGGCTGACGTCCTCCAAGATCAAGCTGAGGCACAGTGTGACTGGTAGGACAGCTCCTTCCCTGAGCATCCTTGACCTCCTGCCTGCACCCCTTGAACTCTTTCAGCTCCATGGCAGCCATAGGCGGTGTGCTACTTACCTTTCTACAAGCCAGCTCTGTGTGTTGGGGCCCCGGCATACTCATCCAACCCTTGAAACGCTCAGCAGCATCACGCAGCAGCTCCTGGACACTCTCTTCCATGTAGAGGCTCAGGCTCATGCCGGCTGCTTGGGCCTGCCGCAGCTCAGCCAAGGCTGGGCAGGGAGGGTTGAGCTCAGCTGCATTGTAGGAGCCACACAGCTGTAGCACCATGTCCTGAGGGACCTGGGAGAGCACACACACACAGACACTATGGCCATAAGGAGCAACAGGCAGTCAGGGGCCCACGGGATCTCTCAGGTCCATGTCAAGGGGTACAGAGGCCTAGCTACTGGCAGTGAGGTAGATGAGAAACCTTATAGGAAAAGAGTTGGAAATTAAGGGGGTATGTGTCAAGTGAGCCCTATCCCTGACTTGGGGGGCATAGCTCTGGCCTGATGGTTTCCCTGGATCTGGGCCTAGAGAGACTCACTTGAAAAAGTTTCTTGCAGTCACTGATCATGTGTGATAGGCCCTGGGTGGCAGCCATGTTCTCACTCAGGTCCCTAGGGCCTGGCCGGCCAACCAGGCTGCATTTGCTCCTGATCCTAGAGGGAAGAGCCGGGAGAAGATGATGGCACATGGGCACAAGACAAGATGGATCACTGGCTGGCTTCTAGCAACCCCCCCCCCCCATCCCCATCACAAAAACCACCTGCTGCCCATTAGAAGGCCTTGCTTCAAAACATCCAACTGGTCCCAGGTCCCTGAAGAGTCAGGCTGACCCCTGGTGGTGACACCTGGGAACTGCAGGACCAGCCATCAAGGGTCCACAGTCCAAGGGGAACCCAAACCCTCCCTGCCTGGTCTTGCCATATCCTGCCCTGTTTCACCTCGGAGAGGGGCTATCCTTCTTAGAGACGTTGAGATGGAAGATGGAAGGTGCCAGACACACAGCTAGGTTGCCAGCTGTCATCTGGTTTTCTTCAGCAGAGGCAATGTCACTTAGGAAGTAGAGCAGAGTCTGTAGGACCTCTCGGTTCTCATCCGGGAGCAGCAAGGTGGCAGCCTGAGCTGCTGCCAACCACTGATCCTTGGGGAGGACTGTGAGGAAGGAATGGAAGAACGGCTTTTTTATTCCCCTAGAGCTTCTGGCAGCAAGTCTCCTGCTTCTAGGAATGCAGAGGGCACAGGGGTCCCAAAGGAGGTCAGTGAGAGGAAAGGGTAAAGATGGGCTCTGGGAGGTCTCTAGGTACTGGACTCAGCCCCACTCTCATGTACCATATAATCTTAAGTAGGCGCCTGCCTTTCCTCGGGGCCTCAGTCTATCTTTCCATATGACGGGTTTGGGGAATGGAGTGTGGTCTCCCTCCAAGGGCCTTTCCAACTCTGGATAGCAAATCTTCCAGTGAGCACCAGGTTCATCTCTCACAAGCCCCAGGAATGCAGGGAGATTGAGAATGGGGCAGGTTGTCGGGGATCAGTGTGGGTGACTCACGCTGGTAGATCTGCAGGAAAGTGGTCGTGAGCTTGCTGGTAAAGATAGGCTCCGGTAGGTCCCGGAAATACTGCTTCAGCAGGTCTGCCACATCATAGGCCGACTGGCCCTCGTAGCAAACATGGTCTGGGTTGGCCTCATTCATTTGCCGCAGGTTCTGGATCCTGGACTTCACCCCAGACTTGCGGAAGATGCCCACCTGGCCCAGGCAGGGAAGGGACAGACGAAGACATGCAGGACAGGGGTGGGGTGGGGAGGAATGTTATGAGGCCAGCCCCGGACTGGGTGTCAGTAGTATAGGCCACCCCAGAGACTTCTAAGCCTGGCAGGCTTCCTGCTAGGCAGGGAAGGAGAAAGATGGCAAGACCAAAGAGAAGGGTTTTTATAGCCCCAGGGTCAAGGGGACAGATGGCTTCAATGGAAACGAGTAGGAAAAGAGTGACCTAGGCTAAGGTAGGCTCCTAAAGATGGGGCCTATGGTGCCTGGGCTAGAAAGAAGCTGGCAGAGAGCCCAGCAGAGGGGAGCTTCACCTCCATGCTTGCAGGGCCTTCCTAAGGCTCAGAAAGGTCTCCAGTGGGTCAGAGAGGTCCTCGCAGCTCCCCAATTCCTCAGCCCTGGATTTCTTCCCCAGTGCCATCTGTATTCCTCAGCAGGGCTCACCTGGTCCAGGCACTGGCTGCGCAGGTAGCGCATGGCTTGCTGAATGCTCTGTGGCAGTGGCTGGCCTGTGCGCTGCACATGGATAAGGGGTGGCACCCCAAACACCTGCTGGCCTCGGTAGTCCGGAGTCTTATTCCTTTTCATGAACTTGGGCACTGACCTGTTTGGGGGAGTGACAAGAGTTCTGTGAGGGGTATGGGATAGGCTCAGACGCAGCTTGGAGACTCTGCAGTCTTGGGGGTCTCAGGCAGGGGTGATGGGGGTAAGAAACACACCACATCTCCAGAGTCAACATTCCTTGAGCACCTGCTCTGGGCCGGGCCCTAGGGAGTCACACAAGAATACAGGGAGCTCTCAGTTGGCGGTTACAGGCAATGACAACATATGTGGTCAGGAGTGGACCAAGCAAGAACTTAGGGGAAGACCCATGAGGAAGGGGAATTATCCCTAGTGGATCAGAGAAGGCTTCAGGGAGGATGTGGAAATTCAGCAGGCTCTTGAAGGATAGGTAGGTGTTGTCCCAGAGGAGAAATGGGGAAAAGGCATTCCAGGCAGAGAGAACAGCACAAAGGCAAAGAGGCAGAACAAAGAGTATGGCACATTCAGGGAAGGGCAACAAATTTGCTGGGCTCTACAGTGGCCTTGCTTTAGAGTGGCAGGCTAAAGAAACCAACAGCTGGGGCAGGACCAGAACATGAATGGATCATGATGGGGAGGAAGCTGGACCTTCTTTGGCCCTGGTGTGGGGCAGGCTGGTGGTGGCACTGAAGGGTGTCTATCAGGAGAGCAGCAACCAAGGCTGCCTTTTAAGACAATCTCACTGGTGGCAGCCTGGAGGTTGGGATGGAGACGGTACTGCTCAAGGACCTATGGTACCCCACTCCCACTCCTCCTCACATATGGCACACATACTCACATGTGTCCCATGAGCATCCCCCACAGACATATGCAAGCCATGCTGACCTCTCAGGACATGGCCTCTCCAGCTTCCTGGCCCAACCTAGCACTACTTGGCTTCTGGGCTCCTCCTGCTTATACCTACCTTCTGGGGCTGACCCCCCCCCCAGGGTCCTGGAGTGGAGACAGGAAGGGAACCAAGGCCTGGGTGAGAAGCTCCCCACCCACTATGGCCCAGGAGCACTCACCAGACCCACCCTGGTTTGTGTGGCACAGTGTATTTCTCCATGAAGGCAGTGAGCCGCAGCAGTGAGCCCTTATGCAGGAGGTGGATCTGGCTAGCAAACTGCCAGTTGATCTCCAGTGACTCTGAATTGAGGCTGGGCCGGTGGGAGTTCTGGAAGCTGTGCCAGCGGAGCTTCCTGGTGAAAGGTGAGGAGCAGAGAAGGCCAGAGGAGCAGGTTTGGAGTAAACCTTAGGAAATGTTGAGCTCTTCTGGTTCCTTTATTCTCCCCAAAAGAAAGCAAATGCAGAGAGATGTGAGCAGTCAGCCTTGCTACTGGGCCCGATGGTGGAAAAACCTCATATTAGTCTCCAGGGCTGCCCAGTGGCCAAGCTGTTGTCAGAGAGGGTGGCCAGAGCTGAGGCCCATCTATTGCCAACGAGCAGCCCCAATGGAGGGGCTGATCCGAGAACCCAGAATGGCAAAGCTGTGGATCCAGAGACCACCTCCTCTAATATCTTTGGTTTACACGTGGGGAAACCAAGGCCCGAAGAGGAGCCAGAATTTGCTCAAGGCCATAGTAGAGGCAGACCCTGAACTTAACCTGGAGGCAATCAAGAACCTGCCCCTAGGCCTCAGGACTAAGAAATTGGCTTGAGAGACTTAGTTGTGTGGGGAGAGAGGGGAAGGAAGAGAAGGACGATGAAGGAGGGGGAGAGACAGAGAGAGAGATGTCCCCACCCCTACACAAAACTCCCACCTGCAGGGTCTGCTAAGTGAGGCCCCAACGCCTGAATCCCGTCGTTCACGTAGTCTGGATGCTTGAAGTCCAGCTGGCGAGCCCATGACCTCAGCCTCGTTCATGGAGTTTCCACTACTGTCCAGTTCACTGGAGGAGGCCACAGTGTCAGAAATGGAGTGTCCTTCTTCCACAGATACGCTGTAGGCCGAGGTGGGTTCCCCACCTGAATTCACCTCCTGCCCATGACCTTGGCCCAGGTCTAGGGCCTCGGCCTCAACCTGGGCCTGGGCCTGGGCCTGGGCCAGGGGCTCAGCCTGAGCCTGATACTCAACCTGAGCTGGGATTACTGGCTGAACATCAGCCTGGTCTGGGGCTGAGGACTCTCTGCAGGCTGGAGCCTCTATCTGGGTCAGAGTCTCAGCCTGCCCTCCAACCTCAACTGTGGCTATTTCTACTGACGAAGCAATCTCCTCCTCTTCTTCCTCTTCTTCCTTTTCCTTATCTCTAGTCCGCAGGTCTGGGTAGATGGCCTGAGACCAGAGCTCTACCCGTTGCTGCAGTCCCCATACATGCTGGAGGATGTCATCTAGGTGGGCATAGCTGCCTGTACCTTCCTCATCTTCAGCTTTAGCCCTGACCAGTACTGGCTCAGATGGGTACAGCTCAGACATGTTGTCATAGATGCTGGCATGGCTGCCCGTGGAGCCACAGGAGCCCCGGTGCCCTTCGCAACCCCAGGGTCTACCTGGCTGCCAATCTGCCAGGCAGTGTCCATCCTCGGGGAACAGGCTCTCAATAGACAGAGAGCGAGGGAATGTGCCTGGTTTGTGGTCCCTGGGCACGTGCACGAGGCAGTCACCCCGGTGCACCTGCTGAGGGTGCCGAAACATGGCCACAGGCCAGGCCTCCCAGGCCCTTGGAGTCTCGGTGCCACTGTTGCTGGCTGAGGCTGCTGCCCTATTCTTGGCTCTGTAGAATCCAGCTGAGAGGAAGCCACGGTGACTACGAAAAGAGGAGGCTTTAATGGCCTTCTCTAAGGTGGCTGGGCCACGGTCGGGCCCAGCTTGCCGACTGCCACCCTTTTCCTTCCACCTCAGAGAATCAAGATGCTTAAGGAAGCTACGAGAATGGCGCTTCTTGGCTTTGTCCCGGGGACCCTCATGGCCCTGGGTGGGGCTAAGGAGGGGCTGGTTACTCAGGCTGAGAACGTGGCAGGGCGTGGGCAGCTCCATTGGCTCCGGCTCTGGCGATAGGCTTACAGTGATGGCTGGCAGGGAAGTGGTGCTAAGCTCAGTGAGGACGCTCTCACAGCTGGAGGTCACTGGCAGGCCAGGGCTTGGTGGGGCCAGCAGGTCAGAGGAGTCCACATGAGACCAGCATTTACTTTCTTGCTGGAAGGCCCAGTGGTTGCTGATGGTACACTGCTCTTCTTCTTCTGAGTCTTCATTCTGGGGAGGGAGCCACGGGGTCAGGTTAGAGAAGTCTAGTCCACAAGTCCTTGTTTGTATTCCACTCTCTGCCTCCAAACTCTTGGAGTAACAATGAGGTAAAGGGCCCCACTTTCTGACTGAGGACATGTCCTAGATGCGGAGCTGGCTCTGGGAGTACCAGAATAAGCCAGGAGTCTGAGACGGAGCCCAGACAGATAGTACTAGTCATCTCATTCATCTAATCCCTCCTTATTTCACAGATAGTGAAACCCAGACCCACAAATGAGAAGCCACTTGCCTAAGGTCATACAGTGTCACGTAGCAAGTCATTGACAGAACCATCATTAGAATCTAGGTGTTCTGGGATCCCTGGGTGGCGCAGCGGTTTAGCGCCTGCCTTTGGCCCAGGGCGCGATCCTGGAGACCCAGATCGAGTCCCACGTCGGGCTCCCGGTGCATGGAGCCTGCTTCTCCCTCTGCCTGTGTCTCTGCCTCTCTCTCTCTCTCTGTGTGTGTGTGTGTGTGTGTGTGTGACTATCATAAATAAATAAAAATTAAAAAAAAAAGAATCTAGGTGTTCTGACCTCCTGTGCTCAGCAGCCTCCCAAGTCTCTAGGCTATTGTCTTAGATTAGAATCACAGAATGCCAGAACTGGAAGGAGATTTTAGATTTTCTAATTTTCTATTTTGCAATGTAGGGAAACCAAGGCCTAGAGAGGGGAATAGACTGGCTCAAGGCCACTGAGAAGTCGGTGGCAGAGGTGGGACCAGGTTCCAGGGGCTTCCTGCTTCCCAGACCAGGGCTCTGGCAGCCTAGCTGCCCCTCCTGGCTCCAGACTTCTGGTGGAGAAAGGCCCAGAAGAAATCCACAAAGCCTGGCCCTATGGAAGGATGAGGTCATCACGCTAGCATTCCAGGGCTACATGGAGACTAAGAGTCTTCTCGGTTTCTGCAATCCCAGATTGGCAGAGTCAGAAAGGCCTCATGAAGCTATTAATGTCCCCCTCCAAATCAGTGTAGAGGTGGGGAAAATGGGGCTCAGGGGTACAAAACCTCATAGGGACACAGTTGGGGATCTTGACTCCTAAGATCGTATAGGCCATGATTTTTCCACTGCATTATTCTGTCTCTGCTTATAGTCAAGGAATTATTGCCATCACGAAGCAGGTAGTGGAGGCAGAGAAATTTCCCCGAGGAAGGGCCACCACTAGGTCAAGTTATTGGTAAACTCAGTAGGGGAGAGGTGTGCTGAGGGTGGTGGGTGAGGATGGGCCAGGGTACTTGTTGTCATCCAACCTCCAGGCTATGCTTGCCAGAACCTGGCAGAACCCCTTACACCTCATTCCCACACTGGAGCAAGGCATTACTCTGTACACCCCAGACTCCCAGAAAACCGAAGCGAGTTTTGCAAGGAAACTGTGTATGCTCTGGGTTCAGCGCAGTGCCACAAGACCCCCACCCTTGCCATGACTCACCTGCTTGCATTGATAGTGAATTTCCAGTTTCATCGAGGCACAGTTGTTCAAGGTCATCAGCCTCCTGTAAGGAAAGAAAGCAGCGCTCACCTAAGAGTCCCAACCAAAGCCTACAGGGCATTACCTACCAAGACAGCCCCAAGATGCCCCCCACTAAGGTCACATGCCCAAGCCATCAAAATGTCTCCCAAGACCCAGTGTTCATAACGGTTTCAGTGCCAGACATGGTGCTAGGGAGATTATGGCCTCCATCCTCTGGGAGCTTGTATATGTGGAATAAACCACTACAGAGATGGGGCAAGGTCAAGAACGGTGTAAGCAGAGAGGGGACCAGTTAGATTCCTTTGGGAATCTAACTGAAGGGGGAAAAAGACTCAAGGCCAGATCTTGGCCCTCTAGCTAGAGTGCCTGAGTGGTGAGGTGTCAGAGACACAGACAGAAGCACAGAAGGCACACAGAGAGTAGGACAAGGAACTTCGGTGAAGGGACATTAGGCAGTCAGAGAAGGCTTCCTGGAGGACAGAAGTGGGATTCTTCTTCTTTTTTTTAAGATTTTATTTATTCATGAGAGACACAGAGAGAGGCAGAGACATAGGCAGAGGGAGAAGCAGGCTCCTTGAAGGGAGCCTGATGTGGGACTCGATCCCTGGACCCTGGGATCATGCCCTGAGCCGATGGCAGATGCTCAACCACTGAGCCACCCAGGCATCCCAGAAGTGAGATTCTGGAGGAGGTAAAAACAGGGGCTCCTCTCCCAGGCTTCCACAAGAGGCCGTGACAGGGTAGAGAGGGTAACGGTCAGCAAACAGACCACCACCAGTGTGATGGGGGAAACTGAGGCTGATAAGGCCAGTCAAAGCCAGACCACAAGAGTGCCTCGAGCTAAAATAGCTTTACTTTTCTCTGCAGGCAGTTGTACACTCCAAGTAGAGGTGTGCCTGCTTGGAAGCTGAATCTGGTGGCTGTAAAAAGGCTGGATCAGGGTGAGAAGGGGACAGGCAGGAAGGCCAGTTAGTGGGCCACTGTGATGTATCCAAAAAGTCGTGGTTTGGCTTGAGACAAGGCCCAAAGCAGTGTAAGCAGAGAGGGGACCAGTCAGATTCCTCTGGGAATCTAACTGAAGGGGGAAAAAGACGCAAGGCCAGATCTTGGTCCTCTAGCTAGAGTGTCTGAGTGGTGAGGTGTCAGAGACACAGACTGAGACACAGAGAGCAGTGTGACTGCAACAGATGAGCAGTGTACCAGGTTGGGCCTCTTCTGCTGGTGTGGACAAGGGATTATTTCTTTCTACCGGGAAGCCCCAGCCCAGGCCCTGACCTCCCAGGTCTTGCCCTCAGTGGTCCCTACCTGCACAGGGCCCCCAAAGAGTCCTCATCCAGAAAACTGTGGTCCTTCTTCACAGAGCCAATATCCAGGGGAAACAGACCTTCTGTATGGCAGAGAAAAGCCAAGGTAAGTCGAGGGAGGTAGGTCAGAAACTCAGCGCCGGCAGCCCTTGAGTTGGAAAGGGGAGGCCAGGGAGAGAGGAGGCAGGAAGGCAAAAAAGCTGAGCAGAAGGAGCAGGCCTAGAGTAAAAGGAGGGGCTCCAGGAGCTCGGGTTGACCACTGGAGGCGAGTCCAGGGTTGAGGGAAAGGAGGGCTGAGCTGGATGAGAGGACCGAATGATAAGACAGGTCCCCGGGAGATGGCAGGCCTGAGGCCTTGGGCAGCTGCCAAGAGCCAAGCTTGGTGCCCCTCAGTCCCCTTTGAATCCTGGGCTACTCAGACAGGGAACCTCCTCCCTGAGGTGCAGTGAAGGGAGTGGGGCAAGAGTGAGAACAGAGGACAGTGGGCAGCCAAACAATACCTCATTTCCTCCTACCACTCAAAACGGCAGGGTCCACTCCCTGGAATGCAGGAAGGGGAGGGGAGAGAAGAAGGAGTGGGCTAAGAGGACAGAGAAGCCAGGAAATCCCACCCCTCTCTGGCTTGCTGGTGAAACAAACCCATTTTCTCATGCACCTCATATTAACTGATCACCTACTTTGTGCCAGGTGCTCGGGATTCAGCAGTGAATGAGATAAAAAGGATCCCTTCATGGAGTTTACACTCTTAGGAGAACAACAGACAATAAAGCACATGTGGAATAAGACAATACTGTCCTGAATGCCATGGAAGGCAGTAGCCAGGGTGATAGGATAAAAAGAGGCTGGTGGGGTGGGGGCCACTCGTAGACATGTGGTTAGCGGAGGCCTTTCCAAGGTGATGACTTCTGAGCAGAGTCCTGCAGAATAAGACAGGGCTGGCTGGGCCAGGAGCCTGGGAAGACAATTCCAGGCAGGACTGACACTAAGACTCTGAGGAAGGAAAGGACATGGTGTGAGCAAGTGGTAGAAAGGAGCCTGGAATGCCGTGAGCAAACAGAAGAGGAGTCAACAGACGTGGTCAGGTGATGTAGTCTTGCCAGCCGGAACAAAACATAGGAACTTACCTCATTCTGAGAATGCTGGGGAAACCAAGCGGAGGACCGACCGAGCAAAGAAATGAGAGTGAGGCCCGAGGTTCACTGTACATGGAAGAGCATAGGAGGGAGTGTAGGAAGGAGGCTGGTATGCTAAGGTGGCAGGTGAGTGGAGATGGCAGTTTACACAGGAGGTGGTAGTGGAGGTGCTAGGAAGTGGATCAGTCCAGGATACAGTGTGCAGGGACAAGGGACTTTCAGAAAGGAAAGAGGAATCAAGGATGATTTCTGAATGCGGGGCTCAAGGGGATGGTGGTGCCCTCAGGAGGTGGATTTAGATCTGTTCAATTTGAGATGCCTACCCGACAGATGAGGAGATATGCAACTGGTGGTTGAATAGATGAACCTGGAGCTTGGGAATAAGGTCTGGCAGGGAGATATTTGGGAATCACCAGAATTGGTACTTGGAGAGGGCTTTCCTGGGAAATAAGTGTTGAGATGAAAAAGGGACCAAGACTGAACTCTGGGCTACCCCAACATTTAGATAGCAGTTTGAGAGAGCAGAGTCTTCTCTAAGAAGACAGAAAACAGCATCCAGAGAGAGACAGCCAAGAGAGGTGAGTGTTCCAGAAGCTGAAGGGAGTGGCCACCTGCATGAATTCTGTTGAGACATGAAGTAAAGACTAGGGAATGGCCACTGGATTTGATCACATGAAGGTCACTGGTGATCTGGACAAGGACTGTTTTCTTGGCAAAGTGGCGGCAAAGACAGAGTACAGTGGGGAGGTGTGAGAAGAAGAGGGAAAGGGGAAACAGTAAATATAAACCACTCTAAAGAAAAAAGAGAAAAATGAAGGGAAACAGAGAAATGAGGCCATGGGGAAGTTGAGATGAAGTCAGGATCACCAGGATGCACCCTCCTCATTGTACCTAGACACATGGCATCCTCACAAGTGGTACAGTGCAGGGGCCTTGGCCAAGACAAGGCACTTTAGTAGAAGAGTGACACCAGAGCTGATGAGAGCTGATGAGAATGACCCAGTAGAGATGATGCTGTCACTATAGGAGCAGGGGGCCAAGGTACACAGTTTCTTGTGTGGTTGGAAAGAGGATCTGAGTGCCCCATTTTAGAGATGAAAAACAGAGGGATGAGGCAAATTTCAGGGTAGGGAAGGGGAAGCGACTGAGTAGTCTTACCTTCAAAAAGTTGAGCATACTGAGGGAATCCTGTTGCTTGGAGCCACTTACATGCTCTTTTGGCCTCAACTTCTAACACAAAACAGAGGGAAAGAAACAGGTGGAGAAACAGGGTTAGTTAGGTGCTGGCACTGAGCCACCCTGGGTGTACACTGCCTCACCTCTGGCAGAGAAGCACCTCTAGTTCTCGTGATCTGGAAATGGCAAGGAAAGCAGGGAAGGGGCTGGCATATTTGTTGCATATCACAGCCAGCTAGGATTCACCTTCAGTTCCCCAAACCCTACCCTATGTATATCCTGGCACACCTTTTTTGAACCTTACTCCCTGCTGGTCTCAACACCCCTCTCACTCTCCCACCCCTGCCCAAGTGTTCTTGGGCACCCAAGAACCCACCAGCAGCAACTCCCAGGAATGGAGTCAAGGAATACTACTGAGGGATGAAGCCAGAGCTGTGCCTTCACCCTCCCCTCCTGTGGGAGAAAGATCCCTTTCCATGGCCCTGGGTAGACCATCCTAGTCCAGCTAGGGATACAAAATGTTCAGCAATTATCATTATCTTTCCCACCATCATGCCTAACATTCCCTAGCCCTTTGATAACCAAGTCTCACTTAACACAAGTAATAGGCTGTGAATAAGGTTTTACTATGTTTTATGGATCTCCACACAGGCTCAGAAAGGAAGGACTTGCCCACAGTCTCACGGTTGACCAAGGTAGCAGTGCTGGGGCCAGAGTCCAAGCTCAAGCTGACTCTTACTCAGGACTCCTTATGCTTCTGAGGTGGCAGATTCCCCAGTGCTCACTCTCCCCTATCATTCATCGATTTCCAGCCCTCCCTCCCCAGGGAACCTCCCAGGACTGCTCCAGTGCTCCCCTGTAGCTAGGCCTATGCAGTATAATCCAGTGCTGACTGTCATGATGACACAACATGGACCTGTGGGAATCTTGGAGGACACTGGTTGGGTTAGCCTCTCATCTCTGCTCTGGGAATGCCCAGCACCCCTGCCATCCTCAGTGGAGGCAGGCAGCTGGACTACAGGAGGCCAACGTAGGCTGAATGCCATTAGCAAAGCCCTAGGACTGCCCAGGCAGCAATTTATTTCGTACCCACGTGCTGCCAGAGAGCAGTGGGGCTAGGACTATGGGACCAGGCACTGTGGGGTTGGGGGGTAGAGGAGACTGCTGGCTCAGCAGAGCTACTCTGGCCACAAAGCCAAGCACCCAACATCTCCTTGATTTCCTTGGCACCTATGACCAGAGAACTCCAAGGAGACTTGTGAGGTTTCTCTGAAGACAGGAAGAGCTCTTTCTCTCCAGTGCTCTCCCACAGGGAAATCCAGGATGAGATCCTAGCAGCTGGGCCTGAGAAGTTAAAAGACAAAATGGTATTTGAGAGGATGCCAGGTGGGGAGACAAGGGAGGGAAGAGTGCAGGAAGGTAGAAGTTAGTCCAAAAAAAACCAATAGGCCTCTCAAGGGTCATACACTGATGAAGATTTCAGGGGAGGGGGAAGAGAAGGCTCTGGAGCCCCTGAGGGTTTTGGGGGCAAACAGGAGTGGGGCAGGATGAACATCTCTGCATTTCCCAGAGTGAGCACATCAGGTCAGTGCCACCCCAGCAGTTGCCTCTGCACACAGCTGTAGCCAAGTCTGCTCATGGGATGGTGCACCTGAACACACACACAGACAGGCCCTTCAGTCTGTGCATGCACCTGAATCTGTATGCGCATGGGTTTTTGGTTACTGCAACTTTCTAACCTATGACAAAGATCAAGGAATCATCAGGATTTCTGGGAGGTCCTGGTAAGTGTTTGTTCCCACAGAGCTCAGCCAACAGTAGCTCAGACCCCCTGGCAGGGGGCAATGCAGGCCTGGGAGAGGATACGAGGTCTCTAGGCAAGAGGTGGTCTGGGAGAACTGTGACAAGAGCTGCTGGAAGGGACTTCATGTCAGCCCAGGAAGCATTTGAGGGACGTGGTTTTGCTGTTAGGACACCTGAGCCAGCTGCTACAACCACCTTCCTGTTTCCTGACTGTCCGACACTCCCAGGAGAAGGCCCCTCTCCAGCCTCAAAGCCCCTTCCAGCAGCCAGCTCTGCTATCCCATCATTAGGACAAAGAGAAAGTACCAAAGTGGGGACCTGGTGGGTTTCCAGAGAGACAGGCACAGAAGGAAACAGAGAACCCTAAAGGGCCATGAGTCTAGTATGGGCACCTCAGGCAGGGAAGCCAATCCCCATGGATCATCTTGCATGCCAAGAACATACCCTCAAAGTCCATCACAGCCCTCAGTCATTCATGGCTAGATGCAGAACAAAGAGCAAAAGGAATGATAGAGCCACCTGCCTGCCCATTATTCCCAAGCTCCTTTTGAAGCCTGAAGGAGGTGGGCAAGTGCAGTAATAAAGTCCTACATCTTAAATATCTGCACCATCTACCTGAGCCACAGAGGCAGAGCCCATGGGAGAGTGGCGAGCTACCTGCTCCTCTCATGCTTGGCAGTGGCCCTAGTTAGGGTTGTTGGGAAGGAAAGCAGTTCACTTGGGTGGACAAGTTCTCTCACTGCCACCTAGACCCTCCAGCCCCCTGCTTTTCTAAGCGTGATCCCTGGGCCAGCAGCATGGATATCACCAGGGACCTTGTTAGAAATGCAGGGCAGCCCTGATGGCTCAGCAGTTTAGTGCCGCCTTCAGCCCAGGGCCTGATCCTGGAGACCAGGGATCGAGTCCCACGTTGGGCTCCCTGCATGGAGCCTGCTTCTCCCTCTGCCTGTGTGCCCCCCCCCCATGAATGAATAAATTTTTTTTAAAAAAGAAAGAAATGCAGAATACCAGACCTACTGAATCAGAATTTACATTTAAGTAGATCCTGAGTTGATTTGCATGCACATTAAAGTCTGAGAAGCACTCACCTATATACCCTAGCTCAAAGATTCTCACCCTTGGATACACATGAAAATCAGCTAGGGAGTGAAATGAGTCAATTGGAGAAGGACAAACATTGTATGTTCTCATTCATTTGGGGAATATAAATAACAGTGAAAGGGAATAGAAGGGAAGGGAGAAGAAATGTGTGGGAAATATCAGAAAGGGAGACAGAACATAAAGACTCCTAACTCTGGGAAACGATCTAGGTAGGGGTGGTGGAAGGGGAGGAGGGCGGGGGGTGGGGGGTGAATGGCTGACGGGCACTGAGGGGGGGCACTTAACGGGATGAGCACTGGGTGTTATTCTGTATGTTGGCAAATTGAACACCAATAAAAAATAAAATTTATTATTAAAAAAAAAGAAAATCAGCTAGGAAGCTTAAAAATCCCAATTTCCTGGGGCCCAATCCTCAGAGGCTGATTTAATTGGTCTGTGGTAGGGCTCTCCAAATTAGCACTTTAAAAATTCTACAGTATGGAACACACTGAGACCCAAGGGAATTCTTCAACTCCTACAGGGTTATGTGGCACAGATGAGACTATGACCGTGATCTTTTATTTTCCTTTAAGTTTTTAATTCCATTTACTTAACATAGTTATTTTAGTTTCAGATATACAATATAGTGATTCAACACTTCCATATATCACCCAAGGCTCATCACAACAAGTGCCCTCCTTTATCCCCATCCCCTATTTCATCCATCCCCCCCCCACTTCCCCTCTGGTAACCAGCAATTTCTGCCTATAATTAAGAGTCTGTTTCTTGCTCGTGTGTCCTCTCTCTCTCTCTCTCTCTCTCTCTCTCTCTCTCTCTCTCTGTCTCTCCCTTTGCTCATTTGTTTTGTTTCCTAAATTGTCTTTATCGGACTTATTTCACTTAGCATAAACTCTCAAGCTTCATCTATGTTATTTCAAATGGCAAGATTTCATTCCTATTTATGGCTGAGTTATATTCCATTTTGATTGTGTGTGTGTGTGTGTGTGTGTGTACCACATTTTCTTTATCCATTCATTAGTGGAAGGACACTTGGGCTGCTTCCATATCTTCCCTATTGTAAATAACGTTGCTATAGACATTGCATGTATCCCTTTGAATTAGTGTTGTTGTATTCTTTGGGTAAATACCCAATAGTGAAACTGCTGGGTCATAGGGTAGTTCTATTTTTAACTTTTTGAGGGACCTCCACACTGTTTTCCACAGTGGCTGCAAAGGTTTATATTCCCACCAACAGTGCAGGAAGTTTCCATTTTCTCCATATCCTTGCCAACACCTGTTGCTTCTTGTATCGTTGACTTTAGCCTTCCTAATAGGTGAAGTGATACCTCACTGTAGTTTTGGTTTGCACTTTCCTGATGGTAAGTGATGATGAGCACCTTTTCATGCATTGGCTGGCCATCGGTATGACTTCTTTGGAGAAATGTCTCTTTGTGTATGACCCTGATTTTTTAATTTCCTGTCCAGTTCTGTTTTCCATTGCATTATGCTACTTGCCCTCAGATGCCAGGTAAACAAAGGGTTTAGACTCAAAGGAACCAACTCCATGCCCCCCAAATTTTTTCTTCCCTTCTGATATAGTGGAGTTACAAGCCTGAGTTGAAATACTGGTGCTGCCAGTCACTAGCTCTCTGGCTTTGGGCAAGTTATTTAACCTCTATAAGAAAGACTCAGTTTCCCCCTCTTTAAAATGGAGGTAATAGAGTCTACTTGAAATAGCTACTGAGAGCATTAAATAAAATACTGGAGAGGAAAAAAAGCCCCTGACACAGTATAAGCACTAATTGAAGGGTCCCAAGAAAACAGAACAAACAGAAAAAAGGCCCAGCGAGCATTTTCTTTTGACTCTGGAAAGTTGCTGCAGCCACATTACTGTCAAATTCGCAGATAAATGGCTCTGGAAAGAGAGGTTTGTTAGGAGGCAGAAGTCGCAAAGAGGCCACAATAGCTCCAAAAAGACAAAGAAGTCAAGGAGTTTGAAGCAAGCCCGCGGACTGAATCCCCAGCAAGGACTCTCTGGCAGGAATCTGGAAAATGTAATGGGTTATTACCCAACAGAATGTCAGGGACACCATATCCCAACAATACAGCACCTCATGGAGGGCTGGGAGGCCCTGAGACTCCCTCCCAGATGGAGCAATCAGACATATGAC